GAAAAGCGCTCCGCGGCCTCCGAAACCCAAGAATTCCTTTACTTTTCTTTCTCTTTCTCTCTCTTCAAAATCAGATATTTTGATAAAATGATTTTCTCTCTCCTCAAAACGAGCTGTTTTCCTTATATCTTTAGTCTGATCGGCCTGGCCGATCGCCTCATCGTCCTGGAAGATCAGAACAAAATCAAATCGGCCCGGCCGATTTCCCAGGTCGATAATTTCGATTTTGCTCTCGGGATTTTTGTCTTTTATGATCGTCCCCGACCGATCCAAAATCGGCCTGGACGATCTAGTCCAGAAATCATTCCATAAAACATTCCAGAAATCAGCCGAATTCAATGCACTGATCGGCCTGGACGATCTCAATATCGTCCCGGCCGATCCTGGGAGGAAAATCCAATTCAGAGAGGAACAGTAAAGGAACAAGATCTCACAATCTCCCCACCTTAGAAAAATGTCGTCCCGACATTTCCCTACAGGTAAGAAGCAAGAACAAACAACAAAAAATAAATCGATCTAAATCCAAATCCAAATCAAAATCGTTGAAATCCATACAAAACACACAATGCAATCAATCAAATGTCAATCAATCAATTAGTCAAATCATCTTACTAATAGAACTTTCCGGTCGTTGTTAATCCTCATGATGTTGTAAACTTTGTAGACTATAGATGCGTGGCACCACTGGAGAAAGTGCAGGAGGCCGTGGTGCAACTGTCTCCCTCTGATCTCTGACAACTCTATCAGGAGCTTTATCAATCATTCGATTCTCTGATCTCTCACTATAGGCTCTCTAGCCAACAGTCCTCTGCTGTCCTGTACCCGTGCTAGAATCAGACCTTCCACCCAATCCTTTCTGAGGGCAATTTGCTGCTCTGTGCCCTTGCTGTCCACAGTGAAAACACTGCCCCGTCAATAGGTAACACCGACCTGCATGTCGTCTGCCACAGTGAATGCACTCTCCAGAACTACCAGACGATACTACTGATGCAGATCGCGCTGCAGATCCCGATGCAGATCCCTTTGAATCACTATATTTGCTCCTCTTCTCTCTATCTCTATCAGAATCATCTAGTCGTACCTCATCTCTCCTCCTCCTGGTATCATCATACCTCTATACTGGTGTCGCCAAGTCAATCTCTATCAATCGGGCTCGCTCCACTAGCTCAGAAAACTCATGTATCCGAAAAGGTACTAGTGGATGCCTCAGCTCTCTATTCAATCCATGCAGAAATCTATAGCACTTATCTTCGGCAGTAGGAATCAGATGAGCAGCATACCTCGCAAGTGCAGTAAACTCGGCCTCGTACTGCATCACTAACTTGCGGCCTTGCTCCAATCTCATAAAAGCTTTCTGTATCTGTCATTGAGCTGACGGTGGTACAAACCACATCCTGAACACTGCAGTGAACTCATCCCAGGTGATCTCAGCAATTGTCTTTCCCTGGAATTTCTCTCTCTGCTGTCCGATCCACTATCTCTCCGCCTCACCCTCAAACATGAACGCAACCAAAGGTACCTTTCGATTTTCCGGACACTGCATGCTGTCAAAGATCTTTTCTACCCTCATTATCCAATCTTTAGCAGCCTGAGGTCCCACAGCACCTTTGAACAATGGAGGCTTCAGCTTATGAAACATCTGCAAGTGTCTATCAGCTTCTTCCTCTTTGCTCCCACTCATTTTGCTCTGAGCATCCCCCATTACATATGCAATCGCAGTAGCCAACTGCATCATACTTTCTGAAGGTACTGGGGCTGCGCTGTGTTGCTCATTTGGTATACTGGATTCTGCCGGAGGATCCATATCGTTCACCTGCACAATTCAGAACAAATGATACGCACATGCAACGATGTATGCCAATGATGCTCTTAAAGCTACCAATTATACCCAACTCTCAATCCAATCTTATAACTCTGATAACAATCCATTCTTCCAATAACACTTCTCTGATACCAAAAAAGTTTGTCACGCCCCAAGATCTAACTTGGAAAGAATTTCAATTAATTTCTCAAACAATTTACAAGAGCTATCTATAACCTTCAATAGCAGTCTATCAAACATCTATAATATTTAAAACATCAATATACAAGTCGATCAATATCTCAAAAGTTTATGTACAATACTCAGGAACTACACTACAATCACAAGTACAGAAATCTATTCTGTCCTGAGTACAAAAGAATCAAAATCATCAAAAAAACTAAAACCTATAGATCCGGATCAATTCCTATCTTCTGCTTCCTTGCCCTGACCTGAAAATGTCAACCATATATAATGAGCTTTACAAAGCCCAGCAGGTCACCTAATACTTATAACTGAAATCAAAGCACGGCGATGCTATCAATATGCATGTCAGTCAATCAAATCCATATCAGTCAATGGTCAATGAGTCTATGCAATACGGAAATCCATAGTCAATGAAACCAGTCAATGCAGCAGCAGGCAAATCGATGAATCAAGCTTAATCAATACACGTCAATCTCGAAGAAATCCGTACACAGAAGAAATCAATCAATCCGTCAAATCAGTCGTGTCAAATCAATCAATCAAATCAAATCTAATCTATGCTATCTAGTCAATAAAATCAATCGGAAAAGCAATACGATAAATGCAGCATCAATAGTATCAATAAATCTATAAGCAATATCAATAAATCTATAATATTCATATCCATAGCATCAATGAATCTATACAATATCTATATCCATTCTATCCATATCAATGTCAATAATCAATAGTATCCATGCTCAATGATCAACAAAGAAATCGATGAAATCGTATGAAATCGTACAATACAGTAAATCCGATCAAATCAATAAGGCAGAAATCGATAAAGAAAATTCGGTAGAGTAATGGCAGTCTATCAAATTTACACAAAAATCCTGCAAAAAATCACTAATTCGAAATTTTACCAAATTACAGTAGAATATTCACGACATCAATATAAGACTATTATTCTATAGAATCCATATCAAATAACATCCTGATATTTTTCTATTTAATTAAAATCGCGTAGAACCAATTCCGACCGGTAAAATCATCGTACAAAATACTCAAATCGTGTACAATATTCATATCTATAACATTCTAAAAGTTGTGCGATGAAAGTTGTGTCAATACAAAACCGGGTCCAAAATTCGACTACGAAAACACAAAACAGTGCACAACTCGATCAAAAATCAATATCTCTGAAAACAGAAATAGGATTCGGAATCCTAACTGCGAGATCTTCAATTCTTCCAACAGTGGCGACGGACGAAAAGCGCTCCGCGGCCTCCGAAACCCAAGAATTCTTTTACTTTTCTTTCTCTTTCTCTCTCTTCAAAATCAGATATTTTAATAAAATGATTTTCTCTATCCTCAAAACGAGCTGTTTTCCTTATATCTTTAGTCTGATCGGCCCGGCCGATTGCCACATCGTCCTGGACGATCAGAACAAAATCAAATTGGCCCGGCCGATTTCCCAGGCCGATAATTTTGATTTTGCTCTCAGGATTTTTGTCTTTTCTGATCGTCCCCGGCCGATCCAAAATCGGCCTGGACGATCCAGTCCAGAAATCATTCCAGAAAACATTCTAGAAATTAGCCGATCTGGACGATCTCAATATCGTCCCGGCCGATCCAGGGAGGAAAATCCAATTCAGAGAGGAACAGTAAAGGAACAAGATCTCACAGAAAATCTGCTGCCAACACATCGGAAATTTATACCAAGCTGCTACAAGACGTCAAGGACAAGCTTGAAGCAGCGAACACTCAATATAAGCAGCAGGCGGATCTTCACAGGCGCAAATAGATTTTTCACCCCGGTGATCTCATTATGGTACGCCTCCGCAAGGAAAGGTTCCCACCAGGAACATACTCCAAGCTTAGTCCAAGGAAGATCGGTCCCGTCCCAATTCTCCAGCATATCAACGATAATGCTTATATCGTGGATCTTCCACCAAATTACCTTACACTATCCACTTTCAATGTCTCCGACATTTTTGCTTATAACTCTCCTGATGCAGGTATCGTCCAAGTCAATTTCTTAGGTGAGGAATCTCCAGCAGCGGGGGGGGGACCTGATGTGAGTTATCCAGGTCCCGCGGGATAGCACACCAAACTGCCCAACAACCTACGACCTCCACTTCCCCAATTATTTTTAGTACTATGAATATTCTCTGTTTTCACTGTCATGTGCCAGTTAGTGGACAACTCAGCATTTTCTTTTTCACAGTTAATTTCCTAATAGTAGAGAATGATATATGTAGTAGAAGGGAGAAGAAACCAGATAGAAAATGAATATTATTAGCTGAAACTATTCCTCATACCTCCAATTCCCTTCTTCCATGTTCTTCTTTCTTTCTTTCGATCTTCTCTGTTTTCTGTGTTCTTGCAGGTTACTATGGTTCCCACACCAAATCTCTTCTCGCTGGTGGAGAGAATGTAGCATCAATTTTGCTTCCCGGAGGCTGAGCTGAGCTTTTTCCACCAGCGCCACCTTCGTCTCCGACTACGAAAAAGAGGACTGTGAAGACGAGGGGGAAGAGGAGGTGGACGGGGAAGAATTTATTCCCTTGCGGGAGATGACGCGGTCGCTGCAGAATAAGCCGGCGGGATTTGGCGAGGGTAAGAGGTACGATACGATGGCGGAGGATAAGATTTTGGAGGAGATAAAGTGGGATCGGAAACATTATATTGAGCAGAATGGCAAATCAAGGGCAAGAGAAAAGGAGAATGCGGCGAGTGTTAAGAAACAAGAGAAGCAGAAGGGTACTGCTTCCTATCTCCATTTATTTAAGAAAGTCTTTACTTTTGAATGCCATTTTTTATTGAATTTTCTTCTGAGTGATGTAATTTGAGCTCATTCTTTCATGAAGAACACAAGAAAGAAACATTTAGCATGAATAACTCACTCTCTTTTGCGAGCTTTCTACCCAGTACTTGTTTGGCTTTTTGAACTTAAGTTTCCCAGCCTTCACCACTGATAGCACGTCAGAGATCTGAAAACACGCAAGTTTAGAAAGCGGATGCATTTGTCCACAATAACAGAAAGTAAAATCTTAATCTAATAAGCACCTGGCGCAACCCGCTCCCAGCCTGATTGTCTGATCAGACATGCTAGTAAAGTCCAAAACAATGTCACCAGGAACCTATTTAAAAATTCGAAGCATCAAACAATGGAAGAAAAGATCTACTTCATATTGGAAAAATTGTCGTGCGGAGATATATCTCTTACGACGGCTTTGTCAACGAGGCTTGCCGTCGAAGAACTCGAGGTTTCTACTTCCATTCTAGGGTTTAGGGGTTCTCTTCACGGACTAGATTCAGCTGAAGCGAGCGGAGATGCCTATTATAAAGGAGGAATAATGGATGAAAATCATAAATCCTCAATTATTTTTGGTCAGGCCAGGCCAAAAACATCCAGATTCGCTCAGATTTTGCAAGCCTTTATTTGGTCCGGTGAACGTACTGAGAGCTACGCCGACACTAAGAAGACAGGCACAAAATTAGAAATACTGAGCAAATACGGAGCAATATCCTAACCAGAAATATTATGTGAAGACAAAATACCGAGTAATATCTAGCAATACCGAGCAATACCGAGTAATCCCAAAAAAATACCGAGTTTTTCTAAAAAACTTGATATTTTTTTGGATTACTCGGTATTGCTCTTCACAGAGCGGTATTCCTCGTTATTACCAAACAATAACTAGCAATACCGACCAAATACCGAGTAACAATCCTCTGACCGAAGGTAGAGCTACATCCGGTCAGAGGACGTAATAAAAATTCCTAATATGATAGCGGTTACAGTGAATAATTTAGAAAAAAAAAACTTTTATTTTCAATGCTTGAAAAAAAATAAGAACTTATTTTTTATATTTAATATTAAGAGTTTATGAGAAAAATTATTTAATTTTAGTTTAAATAAAAGCAACCTTTTAATTTTAATTAATAATTTATATTCTTCATTCCAAAACTTAAAATAAATATTAAATAAAGTATAACACAATATATTTTTTAAACGAGAATTAGGGCATACTGATTGTAAAATTTTCAAAAGGGTTTTGGTTGTTCGACGTGAGGAGGATTTGATTTAGTTAGGCTTTATTAAATTTTTTAGCAAACTCAATAATTTAAAATTTTAAAATATAATAAAAACAAATTTTATTTTATAATAAAAATTGACATGCCAACCATTATTTTAAATTGCTAATAAATATACACACACAAGTATATATAATATATATATAATATATATATATATTATAATTATTACCAACATAAATATTAATTACTTCAGATGCTATCTCGCTAATTGGCCAGTGCACTAAGAGTGTCACCCTTATTGATCTATTCTAAGATGTAAGTATGATTTATGTGTAATTGCCCCATGCGAATGCTGCTGCCATTGCTTCCCTCTTTATCTATTTATGCAGTTAAATGTAAGTCTGATCATCTACTATGTTATCGATGACATATCCTCTCCCTCTTTAAGAGTATTTTAAAAAAGCACCACCAAATTCTTCATTGAGAGTTAACACTATGAATGTACTTCACATCAATTAAGTATCAAAGTAAGAGGGAACATCTTATCATTCTCAACAATATATATCATGAAGTGTCCATGTGTAGGTCATTCCCGATTTAATATTTTAGATAAACCTTAGAGAAAAGATGACTTGGGCAGGTTTGAGCGGACTAGTGTTGTGGGTACGATGGTTGCAGAAGTACTGGCGTCGCAGGTGTATCGAGTTTTCCAAAAAACTCGGTACACTCAGGTATAGGCGGGAATTTGTGCCTACAACCGGATGTTCCTCTGCATCCTAAACCGGACCCACAATAAAAATTCGCTACCCATGCAATATATTTAGCTTATTCTAAGCTCTAAGGGCCATGTTATTTGCTTTTTTGCTATTTTAAATCTTATAGCTCTCTTGACACACGTGGTAATGAGACAGACAACTACTGTTTTAATTATGCCCCCTCCCCCCCCCGAATAAAATTTCTGGCTCCGCCACTGGTTGAGAGCATTTGTGCCTTCCACGAGAAGTCAAATTTGAGTCGTTCAACCTGCAAAAAAAAAAAATCAAAATACATGAAACCATAGGAAAAGTTCATTCAAGGCGTAAAGAATGACATCATTCAAACCAAAAGCGACATCACTATTTCGCAACTGTCAAGCTTGAACTTAATCTAGAAAGAGATTGTGTCATTATTTGAAGAAATTATTTTGTGCAGACGCCGACGCAACTCTACATCTGGATGTCGCGGAACCGAGTCACGGGACCGAGCCACGATATCGAACAACACTAAATCGTGGTAAGTAAAAGAGTGACGTGGTGCATTTTTATTGAACCCCGACGAGATTTGGTGTTCACACAAAATAATTGTTCCATAATAATTTGATCATTCATAGTGAATTTATGAAGTTCATTTTTTGAGATGAATAATTTTTAAATGATTTGTTGGCTAAAATTGTCAAAAAAAAGTGAAACAGTTATGGTGGAAAACAAAGTCTAATTAATTACAAATTCATAACTCATTTTCAAATTTGTTTACCATACAATAACTAAATAAAAACTATAAATCCAAAAGTCTAATTAACTAATCTACTTTTTATTCATAATAAATAACATAAAAAAACTTTGCATTACATTTAAAATTCTTTACCATATATTCATTTTCGTCGTAATAATATTTTAATATATTTAAAATTCAACTACTAATTTTCAAATACAATATAATTTATCAATCATTATATCACCACTCACCACTGCCAAACAACGCTTGTCAACAATCGCCACCTAACAATGTCAAACACCGCCCTCCACCAATAACCACCACCACCACCCGTCAATAACCGCCACCACCACCTACCACCCGCCGCCACCTTATTGACCTCTACACCACATTCATTTTATTACAAGTAAAAAAAAAAAACTCATCTGCACTTATTTCATAATCGTTCAAATATTTAAAATATATTACATTCATTTTACATTATCTTCCATTATACTCTATTCTTTTTTTATCTAACTAAAAAAACAAATGAATAAATCATTTAAAAGTTTTAACATCATAATAAAGCCCAAAATAAATACTTTTCTGAAAACAAATTAACCCAAAATAAGGACTAATTTCATTCAATCGTCTTTCTATAGCACTGTCAATTATTATTGCGAAGATTCATCTGCTAATAGTTTATGCACTCAAAAACTCATGGTGCGCATAAGCAGATAAAAAAATTTAAATTGCATTTTCAAATATAAACTAATTTTTAAATATAAATTAATTCTCAATACAACGGCTTTTAAGATCCACACTAACAAAAAAAAATGACCAAACATCTGACCCAAAATTATTTTCTAAATGTCTCACCAATGGGCACAATAAAATTAAAAAATAAAATAGTTTTAATTATTATGATGATCCAAGATAACAAAATTTTCCTCTCTTTTCCTTCTCTTCTTTTATCCAATCAATTAACTTAAGCTCTTCCTGAAGGTGTTGAGAAGTTGAGAAAATAAACAAATGGAGGATCTGTAAAGCCTCACTTCCAAGCTTTCCTTCCCTTGAACTGCTTCCCTGAACGCTTTTGCCGCTGCTTTTTCTCTTGCCGAGAACGAGCTGCTCTATCTCTTTTGGCAGCCAGAGGCATGGCCTTCTTGTGCTGTTTCTGCCGGTTGCTGAGGCCGCCGGTCTGGCATTCAAAAACCATGAAAAATCAATTTAATCAAAATCTGTCTACTGATCTTATAACATTGTGCAGTTGATGCTTGAACCGTTAGTTAATTTCACAATTCATACATTAATAAAATATAGAGTTCAAAATAGATAGTCTGGCATTCTGATAACCTCAATTAATGGAGTTTTTTTATTGTTTTACAGAAGTTTCATACTCCTTTTTTTTTGTTGACAGGAACCGTCCGCTGGCACCCCCGGGCTAGCCGAGAGCGCTTGGCGATACGTAAACCCCGGTCAGCCTAGATGAGCTACCCACACCCATTAGAACTCATGGCCAACTCTTATTGGGTCCCCCGAAAGGGGCGCTACCACCTGAGGGAATCAAACACGGGATGGGGGGTACCCAATCATGCTCGCCTACCAACCAAGCTAAGCATCGGTGGGTATTTCATACTCCTTTAACTTAAAAAACTTACAAAATACCTCATCATAACAATTGGATGGCAATCCCAAAAATAACTGATATTACCTACTTATTACTTATGTCAGCTTCGTGGTTTCTTGGAGCTCTCATGAGCAATTTGGTTTAGAGATTGTTGATTGTTGTACAGATATCTATTTTTCCATCAATTTTTGGCGTAGGGGTTGGTTCTACCAATCTTTCGTTCCTGTATCTTTTCTTTAGCTGATTAGCATCAACACACTGGTGTTAGTTGCTAACTGTAGGGTTTTTGAGATGAGTTCTGTTCTTGGGGCTTCGGATCTTCCTATGGAGAAGGAGCTTCCTTGTCATACGGGATTGCTAACTGAACTAATATTTTTTGTAAGAAATCGGTTTAGGAGAATTTTGGTCCATCCAAATCCTTTACAGGCGCAATGTCAAGTAAGGGTGATGTAGGACTAAGATGCGTTTAATGAATGCAATAAGAATTTGTACGATTCATTGATAAAAACGAGTATGATTGACAAAGTAAAACAAGAAAGGGGTGCCTACGCTTAGGCTAAACCACTTGCCAAAAAGCTTGACTTATCAAAATAACATAGAATATCAATAAAATGTGAATTAAGTAGCTTTCAAACACAATCCCTACGCTAACAATGATATTAGAAGTATAGAGGTCAAACTCAAGTCCTACGATTACTAAGCTCGGTAGAAATAGATGAGCAAGACCTTCATGAATTAATCATATCACAATAACAAGTTACATAATGAAAATACGAGAGAAATGAAGATTGGTAAACCCTTATCACGGTTGAGTTGTGGGGCCGGCGGCTATGGGGGTTTAATTGGGCTTAATGGAGGGGAATTAAAGATTCTTAATTTGGGTTTAGGAATTAGAAAAGGTTTTAATTAAATCCAATTTGAATTTGAAATTCAAATAGGTTTAATTTAGGAACTTTTCTAAAATAGATTTCCTCATTTAGGAAAGAAAATTTCAATTTCAAATTAATTTGAAATTTGAAACTAAGCATTCCCAAATTAAAGGGGGATCACTTATGGAAGGTGCACAAGGTGGAGATTTGAATTTTGGAGTGGGAGAGGGTGACTAGGGCCAGCGGGTGGTGGAGATGTTTGTGGAGTTTCGGCGGGTGAGGGGAAGAGGGGTTCGGTGAGGGTGGAGGCTTGACTGTGGGTGGGGAAGGGGAGATAGGGCCGGCAGTGGTGGTGGGAGGAGGAAGGGAAAGAGGTAGAAAATAAGACCACGAACCCGACTCTTCTAGGTTGGTGGGTGATGCACAAATCTCCCTCTCATAGGGATTTCACTCCGATCTCTCTCAAGTTCTCATAAGAATTCAAAACATGTGGAAAATTTTTATCATTCAATCATTAACATGAAAAGAGAGCAATAGGGCTATATATAGCCTCGTACAAAGACTCAAGAAAATAAAAAGACGACAACGCCCACAGGGCTTACAAACGACCTCCCTTAAGGGATAAAAAACAGAAACACTAATAAAGCAAATACAACATGACATAATAATAAAGAAAATAAATAATACAACTCAGAAATACATCGACTCAATCGTGGCCGTAGAATGACGGCCACGTCTCTGATAGACTTTCCACGCTCTGATGTCCCCATCAAAGGGTTATAACTTTTCTTCTGGTGCGGTGAAGTACAACTGTTATTCTTTACACTGATGAGAAAATTAAAACTCTGCCTTCTTTTTTTGAATTTGAGTTGGTTTATAAATATAATTTTGGGTAACCAACAATGGAGGGTATCAGAAAATTGAGTAATCTGAAATGAATTGATTTCTTAAATTTTGGTTAATCGGACAAAAAACATATATTGGTTAGGCATTATCATCTTGATGACTACTAGATTGTTTGTTACAAGAACTTTTACTCTATTTCAGGTTTTTTTTATGTGGACTCTTTTAAGTGGACTCATTATTTTGATGCTAATGTAAAATAGACAATTATTCTAGTTTGGAATAATTTCCGAATAATAAAAGTTTACTTTATGAATCATAGCACTTTGTCTTTTGTTGCTTCTATTTTTGGAAGGCCTTTGCAAGTCAATTCGGCTATTTTCTCTTCATAGACCTTCAATAGCAAGAGAAAAATATTTCTAGTCAATTAAATAATGAAATATGGTTGGATATTGATATGTAATAAAAAAATTATCTTGACCGGGCACGAATCATGATGCAAATATGACTTAAAAACTTCCAAAATTAAATTCGTGTCAATCCAAGCTGCGATTTCAAGAAACTTATAGTCAAACTGTATGTCTCAAAGAGACGAACCCAACAACACCAAAATCGGTCAAATCCGACCTAGATAGGTCCAAATCAAAGGTATGAAACCTATTTAGAAGCTTCGAAACGTTAATTGGATGACCAAATGATATCCAAATGTGACATGCTTATAGTTGAATCGAGCGGCTTGATGCGACGAATCCAACGAGCCCAAGATCGCCAAATTCTGACAACATTAAGACACTCAAATGCTCAATAAGTGATCCATGATCGAGGGAGTTGATATTAGACGTCCATTAAAACACTCTCAAACATGCCCTTGATCTTCTTCATATTTACTACGCATGTCATTCCCAAAAAACTATAAATAGACTCCTAATTCTTCGCGAAATAGAGGGAGGAGAAAGAGATGAAAAACAAAGGATCTCTCTTGCTTTCTCAAGCTTGCACCACCAGCCAAATCTCTTCCTGACCACAATCCACCCCGGCCACCATCGCCCGCCGACTATGGTCCCTCCGACCACTGTCGCCCGTCGACTACGGTACACTCCGACCACCGTCGCTGGCAACCTACGGTCCTTTTGACCACCGTCGCTCGCCGACTACAATCCACTCTGACAACAATCACCACTGACTACGGTTCACTCTGACCACCGTCACCCGCCAACCACGATCCCTTTGACCTCCGTCACCCACCGATTACTGAGAAGGATTGTGGTCATATTGATGCTAGTCCTAAGGGTAGTCCATCTACCTTAAGTAAGAATAAGATGTCAGAAAGGCTATAGAATATTTTATCAGGTTTCTTGGCTCAACTCTACTGAACATAACAAGTTCAAAAATCTTAAGAGAGCTTCTAATCATTCTCCTTTCATAGTTCAGATTTATAACTATTCTTTAAGGGGCCAGTGAAAATTCAAAATATGTGGCTACTTCAAAAAGACTTCCTGAGCATAATTCAAGCTCAATGAGACATTTCTTATAAAAGAAAATAATCAAAATGGTCAATTGACTCTTTATGAAAATCAAAATAGTATATAACTATATTAAATGACCATTTTAATCCATTAACTCCTTAAAGAGGAAACAAAATAGCCCCATCATAGACTATTTTAATTCGTTTTTAAATACATGAGGTCAAAATGATCATTTAATATAATTGGAGATCATTTTGATCCATCATAAAAAATCCATTGACTATTTTGATTATTTTCTCTTTACCATGGTAGTTCAACTCTTGCTATCCTTCGGCAAGAATAAAAAAGTTGAAGTTATTCTTAAAGCATTCGAATAAAGTATCTTTCGCAATGTGTTTCAGAATTTGAGGAATTGTAAAAATGAACACTTTTTTTATTAAAGTTTATAAAATCAGTTTGCCCTACTAATAAAGCTAATCTTATGGTTGTTCAATATAAACTCTTTCATATTCAATATTATGAGGAATTTGAAGGTAAATGGCTGGTTTAAAGAAGCTTCAAGATGGTGATAGAAACATTATGCGTTTCCATTTTTTTGTAAACATAAAGAGAAATAAGATCAAGATTCTAAAATTTCAAAATCTTGAGGGTATTTGGATTGATTATTCTAAAATAATTAAATAATTGACCGCTATTTTCTTTTCCAATTTACCATCTCAAGAAAGTGATTACGTTGATTTACCTAATTGCGATGCTATTCCTAATTGTGTTTCAAATAATGTGTCCTTGACTAAAGTGCCTATGGTATGAAATTAAAGAAGCTATCATAGGTATCAATGAGGATTCTACTGCTAGCCCTAATGGTTTTTAGTTTATTTAGGAGCTTCTAGATTATGTTTATCATTATCTTATTACTTTAGTTGAGTCCTCCTTAATTTGCATAGTTGTGGGATTCCACGTGAGAGGTTGTGGAGTATTCATTTTGAATGATGTTACCTCCAGTGGATGTAATGAAAAAATAAGAAATTCTCTTACAATTCTACTTTACTACAGCTAAAATATTGTTACCCAAAATCAAAATAAATACCCCAAGGGTAAGGTTGGTGCTCTCTTCTCAGGAGCTTATTCTCCTTAACATAAATTATATTCTCTTGAATTCAAGTTCATAAACTAACTTTAAGTATTAAAGTGTCTTCCCGGGGGTAAATCCGAAGGATAGACTCACCATTTCTTGATGACACGTGTGCATGAAGTGAACTTACACTAAAGATGTTGTCTTTCGAAAATGTCAATTAAACTAACATTTTTTTTTGCATGAAAGAACTGCCATACAGGTTGCAGCTTCTATGTAGAAAGATAATCAGAGGAAGGAAATAAGGTGTATCCAATCAACTATAGTCTTTCAATTCAAAGGGAGGTTAGAGACAATGCTTGCTAGCAAGAACTCTCACTGTAAATGGAGCTATATTAAATAGTAAATATTAAGAATTTAAGGCCTTTCGAACCTTGAATGGTTGATGATAGGTCTGAAGAAATACATTTTATGGATGATCTACTCTTGGAGCATGTAATACCTTTAGATGTGAATGTTATCTTGAAGCAAAATACTACCACCACCAGACATAGGCCAAAAGATGCATTATGCAACGATAAGAAAGGTTATTTACCAAGCAAAACAAAATATACTTTAGGAAGCTGAGAAGGTAGCCTAACTCAACTGGAATTTTAATTTCACGGAAGTAAAATCCTCATAAAAGGAAATCATTAAGGGGATGATCAATCTAACGATTCACCTTAAAGAAGACTACAAGAAGAAACATCATACTTGAGAATCAAAACATGAAAGGGTCGGGAGATAAGATCAATTGATTACAAATAGTCCAATTTCTTCATGAAGACTACTGACAATGCTGATTCTCATGCCAAACCATTAAACTGAAAAGATAGTCAACAGGATACCATGGGCAAAATAAGATCACTAATCTGGCATCATACGAGGGAGATAAAGATCTGAAACCAAGACTATTAAATTAATATTCATATTACATCAGTATAAGGATGATTTTTAATTTATAAACTTGCTTGGATAAACATGCTTTTAAATTTTAACTATAGTATTAGAATAAATTATAGTGGAATTATATTTTAGTTTAAACTATCTAAGTTGTTATTTGTAGATATGGCTCCCTCTTCTATGGAGGTTGTTTAAGATTTAATAAGATATTATTCCTTGTTATAATGTTCTATAAAGGCCTAATTTGTGGAATAAATTTGGTTTGATCTCTCCTAAAATCTCTCTTTTCTCTCCCTCTCCTCCGACCGATGGGCCTCCAACAACCCCAGAAGTTATCGTGTCCTCCCTCTACCATCGCCTCCATCGTCCTCTCACTACCATCTGATACTTCAAGGTGGTGGCGTGAGCTGCAAACAATAATATTACAGCTATTCATATGGGAAAACAGCAAGTTGACTAGTTTTCAAGAGGAGAACCTAAGAATAGACAAAGCTTACTATCTAAAATAAAAAAAAAAAACTCAATTGAGGTAACCTTAATTTAAAGCCCAAGTCGTCAGGGTTCCTCTCAAAAGAAGTATTATAACCCTTCCTAACCATTCTAACATCTCAGTGTGGGCTTACACAATAACAATGAGAGATTGACCGCATATCCTTTAAAAGCTATGTAATCCAAAAAATTATTTGTTTGATCAACTTCATCCAACCAAAATGCATAAGCACGTAAAACACATAAAGATGCAACACTTTTACGGTACTACCAGAGCATTTTCCTAGTTCACTACATCTTAAAACAAATTGAAAACATAATAGCAGCGCATTAAAAAGAAATATTTTGCTTTTATTAAAATGATCAACAAGGAGAAAAACATTGAAAAATAGATCCAATTACAACATGCGATCACCGTTGGAAATGTTGAAAGTGAATATGTCAGAAAAAACATAAAAATTATCATAGATCATACCTTTTTCTGTTTCACGGCAGCTCTGGCCTGGTACTGTCCTCTGTCTTCTTTGCCTGCTCTAACCAGGGCTAATCTTTCCTCCTTGCTAAGCTTACTCCTGATGTGTGCCTAAACATCACACAATTGTTGTGTAAGAACAAAGGATATTGTACATGAATAAAAAGTCATGAGATTTTATTTTCACATATGAATTCTAGTGCAAACAAAGGTATATTCATTCATTAATAAAGACATTAGAATTTAGAAATGAATGGACATCACAGTGGTCATTTGTTATGATAAATTAATAATAATTTAAAACTTTGACCAATCATGCAAGACAAATTAATTAGGGAAAAAAAGGCCAAATAGGAAGCAAATCTAAAAGTATTCACAAAGATTTCTAAAGTGTGTATGGAATCCAATCTCCTATGCAAACAATAGGGCATGTTTATCCTTCATGGTGCTCATATTGGTGTTGAATCAAATGCAGGCAAGAAAAATAAACACATATGCATATTAGAGAAGCACACTAAAGAGCGTGTCCTATCAGCTTGCACCTAAAGAATACGCTTTTGTCAATATCTCATACTATTTTAATGGTAGGAACTTCCCAGGCATTGTCATCACTACATTAATGACTCTACAACTGAGCTAATTGCTAGTTGTGTGGGCCTTCCAGGGAAGGCGAACTATGCCAGAAGCAAGAGAACCCCATCCCTGTCTTTTCTTTTGTAAGTCCTCATGTCAATAAACAGGATAGCCACACGGTCAGGCAAAAGAGAACCTATTAACTTATTAGGATCTAGTATAATGAGCTCAATTTATGTTGTATGATAAAATATGCATTGGTTGATGAAACTGTAAATTAATTCAAACAAAACAGGCAACTGCATTAGAGAGCTCACTTCTAATTTAGCGGGATCCAAACGTTTTGTGCTGAGCTGCTCAGAAGATGGGATTTTGAAAGTTGTTGATGTAGATTTAGCATCCTTTCCTAAAAGGCCATGTTGAGATAATGCCTGCTTTGCTTCTTTATTTGCCTAAGAAATTTAACCCAAAAAATGAAGTAAGAATGTGCGTACAATGTTAGTAGAAGATAATCATCTTATAATTATTTGCCCAACCACCATAGATTCATTTATATTGGTTCATTTCATCATAATTAGACTAGTCAAACCTTCCTTTGAAAGCAATGGTAACAATATTCGCATGAACTAGAAATTTTTTGCAGAAGCCATAACAAGAATTATCTCATATTGGCTTGCTATGAATTTAGCGAATACAACATCAATGTTACCTTCAGTTTTTTAATACGTTGGAAATCTTCATTAGAAAGAAAGCCGTCAGCTTCGTCAGTTGAAACTTTAGCAGTCTTGATTCCTGCTAGTCTTTTCAGAGCTCGTAGGCTTGCATCTGCTGCATTCAAATTTCCAACACGATCTTCTAGCTTCCTCTTCTTTTTCCTTGGCTCATCTTCCACTTTTTCAACATCGCTGTTTTCAACATCATTACCACTATCATCTTCAATATCTTCATCATACTCATCAGCAGATGTCTGCTGTGCTTTTAGTTCATCTATTTCTTCATAATCACTGGCATCAGCCAAGTCATCATTCTCTGACCCTTCGTCATTACTGTCCAACTCCTTTCTCATGAGACTTCTTGTATAAGGCCAAGTCTTGAAGCAAGTCTTCATTCATCAACTAAGAACAAAGATGAAAGGAAATTAAAATAAAATATAGAACAACAAAAGGGCAATTCCATAAAAAGGGTAAGAATTCATGAAGGCAATCCTAGCAACTCCTATGTTGTAAGTAGATAAAAGTAACTCCTGCTGCCCATATTTAAGAGCATTATATGAGGGGAGAATAAAAACAAAATTTACAATACCCGGTAGGAATCATAGTACAAAAACAGTAATACAAACCTTTAAGCAGATTCGTATAAGTAACAAGTATAATTAGCAATCCTTCAAGTTCATGATGAATGAAAAATGGCATAAAAACTTGAAATTATTGCACACGTGTTGCATTTATTTGGAGGCCAACATAAAATTTACTTTTGATGGTCACCAACAAATTTGGGCAGCCATTAAGTTAATAGCTTGAAACTACCTATATTGCAAAAACTTCTACTTTGACTTGTTAAGGCTATATCAAAATTTAACACATAAAATATTGTAATATTCTCAAAGGAATTTAAAAAGCCAGATCAATTTCTTTTCAATGATATAATGTGCATTGACTCGGTCTAGTACATGATGTATACAAGCTTTTGGGAAATCCTTCATTCGCCCAATAGCTGAATTTTAACATCAGCTGCATCTCCCAGACCACATGCTGTGATACTCACATCCTATATTTACGACTAAGCTTCTTGCAAGAAAACTTAAAATAAATGATGCATCAAATATTCTTTAAGTACTTGTTCATTCTGGAACTTAATGGAATTTCAAATGCCTTAGCATGTGCTTGATGAGGCTTTGTGACAAGATGAGGCAGACATAAATGGGGGCTTTTGTGCTACACACACTCAAAACTGGCTTTCCACATGGCCTATCTGAATGTTTATGGATAAGAGATTATAGCACCTTTTAAGAGATTTACCAATGTGCAATCAAACCCTTCCAGGTAGGATAGGAGATATCAATACTAAAAGCAGCAAGGACAAACTGAAAAACTCAAAACCAAAAGATAATTATAGAAAAGTTTAACAACAAAGATTTTAAAACATTAATAAACAAGTTCAACAGGAAAAACCAACTGGACGAAGAAAAGAAACATACCAGAGGCATTCTAAGGCACATTTCTCTTACTACATTTAATCCAACGGCGATTGCCTATCGAAACAAAAATAGATCAAAAAAGTGCACCTTCTGAAGTAAATGTGACAACAAAATATGCACTTAATAAGCCATGCGTGCGGTACTTCAGGGCGTGATCGATCGTGCACAAATTGATTAACAATTTGTTTGAACAGTGGTTCAACTGCATCATGAGGTACCTAACAACAACAACAAATCAGGAGTGAGACAATTTAATTCAAGTACATAAAAGAAATTAAATAATGAGTTGATGCTAAATATATAAAGCACACCAGGAAGAGAGTTGGACTATGTCAGCCTACAGAAAACGTTAGCAATCAATTTTACACTTTGAAATTGAAGACCAATGGTTTGGGATCTGTTGAGATATTCTCTTTTATGTGTCACACCATCAACTCTTTTGTTATTTATTATATAAGGTAACTCCTTGCTTTTGTTTAAATACATAAGAACTACAAGCATATTGGTCTTCTTATTACAATGTTATTTCTGAAAAGCATTAATACATGAAGAAAAGATAAGTTTAATCAAATGAAGCAAGGGAAGTATACTAACTAAATAAAGAATTTTAAAATAGGTCATTAAAAGAAAATGACTACAACCTTATCATGGCATGCCTGTATTCCAGCAGCAAGTAAATTTGTCACGTCACGCTGATGAGGTTGTCAAATTTTAAACATTCAATCTTAAGAAACAAATTTCCTAGAAATAAGACCAGACAGATTAACCATTAATGCAGTTCAATACCTGAACATATCTTTGAAGAAACGGATACAAGTTTAACAAGATTAGGCCGTGCAATCCAATAGTTATTGCAATTACTTTCAACATCATCATCCTAACCTGGAAAAACCAAGTTCTGCTAAGTTAAAAAATTATTATTATTATTATATGAAGACATTCATCATAAAAAGGAAACATCTCCAAAGAACAACTAATGTTAAAAAAAAAAGGTCATCATAATTATTGGCCTTGTCCCAACTATTTAGAGCCGATTTTTATGAATCAGCATTCTCCACTCATTCTTGTTTTGTGTATCATAAAATGTCTCAAAGCTTTCAGATAGCTTATCTTTCTGTTATCATAAGATTACCCCATCTTCTTCCTTTTTTGACATCAACTTTACATGCTCGTCTTGTTGGTTCTTTCATTGTACATTCGTAAATCACATAAGTTCATTTTTCACTACACTATCTTCAGTGGATACTACTCCCAATATCCCCAATATAATTATTTTTCAGTCTATCCTTCCTTGTCCTTTTACACATTCTCATTTCAACCATTCTCAACTTGGCTATCAATGACTTCTTCACCCACACTCAAATCCCTATACACATTACTATTTTGATTGTAAGTTTAGAAAACTTATCTTTTAACTCTCCATGATATTTGTCGCAAAATACTATTGAGGAAATTTTTTTATTTTAATCGACTAAATTTAACTTTATATATATCTCAAGTTATATTCCTCGCTCTTCTACATAAAAAATCCAAAAAATTAAATTTAGGCATCTGAAGCGTCTTGGAAGTAAAAACAACAAATAGATAGGAAGAAAATTGCATTATATACTCAACATAAATAAAAGATATAAGTGATCTACTATTCAAGAGGTAGATCGGCTCTCCCACAAACCCTAGACGTCGCTAGAAAAAATTCCTAAGAACACTACAACAAACATAAATCACATAATGAAAACAAAACATCCAAATAACCCTTAAATAAACCATTATATTTCCCTCTCAAATCTAAATTCAAATCAACATTCTTCCCCTTAATAAAACCTTCCTAATTTCCTCCCAAATCTGAATTCAAATCAGCTCACTTTCCCTAAATAAAACCTTCCTAACTCCTTTCCAAATCTAAATTCAAATAAGTCATCTTTCCTTAAATAAACATTTCCAAATTTTCTCCCCAAAATTCAAATCAGTCATCTTTACCTCAATAAACTTTCCTAATTATTTCCCCCATGATTTTTCCTCCTTCCACCTGATAAGTACCTCCTGAACAATAAACACATGATGCTGAGAATGAATTCGCAACTTAATAAGATTATTCCTTGAGATGATTATTTTTTTATCATCTTCAATTTGTTTGTTGAAAGTTCTAAGTTGCTCCTCTTCCTTGTCATCAATAATTTGCATCTTCAACTTTCTCACCCTAGAATCATCACCGCTCCAATAGCTTCTTCCTCCTCCAATATAGCAGTTGTTGTAATCCCTCCAAGTTTTCCCCATCTATCAAGGGCGGGAATCCCACCTTTCTTTCACCCGCATGATATGACCTGATCCCCATGGCTCGGCATGTTCCACTCCTCCGATCATCCACTCCTCTTTCCCAAAAAGACCTCCCATAATGGTCGGCCACCCTACCACCTCCACCACAAAACTCTTTTCATGTTGTCCCCCAATCTGAAAATCCTATTTTGCCACTTATCAGAGCCCTAGGAGGTGGCTCTTGACCCCCTCCTCCGATGTGCCACTCCCCTTGCCCGAAATGACTCTCAAAATGGTCGGCCACCCTAACACCTCCACCAAAAAATTCCCTTCTTATTATTCCCTCATATGGAAACCCTAATCCGCCCCTTATTAGAGCCCCAAGAGGCGGCTCTTGATGAAAGAAACTCTCCTCATTGAACTCCTCCCGTCTGATCTCCTTTCCCTTCGATTAGGCCAAGGGAATCCCGATCAAATCTTGGTTAGGGTTATTCATCGGAACCGTCAATGGAGTTTTGGATTGCATCTTCATAAGCTTCCTCATCATCTCCTCCAACCTTCCTAATCGTTTTTCCATCCATGAAAACCTTCTTTCCATGGTTGGAACTTCCCCTTCATGCCGTACTTGATTTGTTCTATCTCACTTTCCAACGCATTCACCTTCTTTGATTTCATAAATCCCAAAAAAAGTACTTTGATGCCAACTTGATGCGCCTTAGAAGTAATAACAATAAATAGATAGGAAGAAAATTGCTAGAACACAAAAACAATGGCTGATTTTTAATTATATTTTCAACAAAAATAAAAGATACAAGTGATATACTATTTGAGAGGTAGATCAGCTCTCCCACAAACCCTAAACGCCGCTAGGAACAACTCCTAAAAAAATTACAGCAAACATACATCACATAATGAAAATAAAACAATTTAATTATCCTTAAATAAACCATTTTATTTTCCTCCTAAATCTGAATTCAAATTAGTCTTATTTCTCTTAATAAACCTTCCTAATTCCCTCCCAAATCTGAATTCAAATCAACCCTCTATCCCTAAATAAAACCTTCTTAATTCCTTACAAAATCTAAATTCAAATCAGCCATCTTTCCTTAAATAAATATTTCCTAATTTTCTCCCCAATCTAAATTCAAATAAGTCATATTTCCTTAAATAAACTTTCCTAATTATTTCTCCCATGATTTCCCCTCTTTACATAGTGAGTATTAACTCTCCTGGGCCTACAAGGCGGGGCCCCTGGTATATTAGCATCATTTGATCTTCTAGAAATATTGCTGATATCATATAATTGCAAATTATGTACTCATCTTTATTCTACTACAACACATTCATGTTTTATAAATATTTTCTTGATGGCTCTTAACTTTTCATTTATTTCAACAAATGTTTCATCATTTAAAGCTATACCATCAACAAAAAAAACAAACACTAAGATATATTTTGAATATACTTTATGACATCTAAATAACCAATGCAAAGTGATACAAAGTTAATGTTGATTGGGAATGCTCGCACCATAATTATTTATAATACTCAACAAGATCCATCACATATATTTAATAACTTCAATAGATATTTGACAATCATTTTTTCCATAATATGTGCTAAATAAATTTTGTGGTACTCAACAATATGTCTAGTCAAGATCAATACAAATTATATAAATATAATATTTATCTGTCCATATATTTTCTCTAATTGCCTTGCAAAAATAACTTTCAAAAAAGATATTACATGCATAAAACTATATAGATTCTCAAATAAAAACATAAATTTTCTATATATGTTCCATTACTTTCTATAATTTTATCACATGAATCATAAGTTTAATTTTCAGATAATTACCATAATCATGAGGAAGAAAGATATATGTATAAGTTAGTCAAACAAAGAGATAGAAGTAGTAAGGATTTAGTTCAAGTGAAGAGTATTAAGGATGAAGATCATAAAATACTTTTCTTAGAAGATGATATTCAACAAAGGTGGATGAGATATTTTGTTAAACTTTTAATTAAGATTGTGAAAATAAGATTGACTGTAGTGACCTTAGCACCCTAAATGAAAATAAAAATTTCTGTTTTTTATCGGCGTATTAGTAAAATTGAAGTTAGAGAGGCTTTAAAGAAAATGAATGGTGGAAAAGCTGTTGGACCTGATGATATTCCAATAGAGGTGTGGAAATGCTTAGGAGATGAAGGAATTTCTTGGTTTACTAAACTTTTTAATATTATTTTGAAGACTAAAAAGATGCCAGATGAGTGGAGAAAGAGTGTGTTAATTCCTATTTTAAGAATAACGGTGATGCACAATATTGTGCGAATTATAAAGGAATTGAATTAATGTTCATACTTTAAAACTATGGGAGCGAATTATGGACATAGGTTGCGGCGTGATACTAATGTTTCTCAAAATCAATCTGGATTCATGCCGGGTAGGTCGACTATGGAAGCCATACATTTATTAAGAGGTTTGATGGAGAAATATAGAGAAAATAAGGAGGATATACATATGATATTTATTGATTTAGAAAAAGCATATGATAAAGTTCCAAGAGAAGTGCTATGGAGAGTTCTTGAAAAGAAAGGAGTCAATAATGCTTATATTCAAATCATTAAAGATATGTATGCAAGAGCTATTACTTGTGTTCAAACACAAGATGGTTTGACCAAGTATTTTCCTATTTCGGTGGGGTTACATCAAGGATCAGCCTTAAGCCCATATCTTTTTGCTTTAGTCTTGGATGTTCTCACTAGACATTTGCAAGAGGATGTACCTTGGTGTATGCTTTTTGCTGATGATATTCTTCTTGTTGATAAGACTAGAGAGGGAGTTGAAGGTAAACTTGAATTATGGAGGTCAACCTTAGAGTCTAAAGGTTTTCGCTTGAGTAGATCTAAAACGGAATATATGAAGTGTAATTTTAGTAGTAATAGACATAGTGAGGGGATTGTGACTTTGAGCGATCAAGTCATTAATAAGAGTACACATTTTAGATATCTTGGATCTATTGTTCAGAGTGATGGTGAAATAGATGGAGATATTATCAGCAGAATTCAAGTTGGATGGGATATTATCAGCAGAATTCAAGTTGGATGGTTGAAGTGGCGGAATGCATCGGGCTTGTTATGTGATAGAAATGTACCCCTCAAACTTAAGGGAAAATTCTATAAGATGGTAGTGAGGCCTGCAATGCTTTATGGTGCCGAATGTTGGCCATTAAAAGAGAAGCATAATACTAAGTTAAGTGTGGCAGAGATGAAGATGCTCAGGTGGATGAGTGGCTTTACCCTTAGAGATAAGATACGAAATGAGCATATACGTGAAAAGGTTGGAGTAGCTCCAATAGAAGATAAGATTAGAGAGAGTCGCCTTAGATGGTTTGGTCACATAAAAAGGCGGCCTTCCGACGACCCAGTTAAGAGAGTAGAGGTATTAGATTTGACTTGTGTTAAGAAAGGTAGGGGTAGACCGTAGACCTAAAAAGACTTGGTTAGAAAATATTAGGAATGACCTTTCTTTATTAGATTTAAACGAGAATTTGACTTTTAATAGGACACAATGGAGAAAAAAGATTCATGTAGCCGACCCCACGTAGTGGGATAAAGGCTTGATGTTGTTGTTGTTGTATGAAGAATAGTGTTGTATATGAAAATTTTAAATTGCATTAATTTTAAAATAAATGATCAAATCAGTTCTAACACAATTTATATCAGAATAGAAGACAAAAATTATTCCTAAAGAAAACCAAACTCATATATTCATTGTTTGCTTATAACCAAAAAATGATACGATGACTCAGTTGTTTATTTTATTAGAGAAAACACGTTAGTTAAAGAAGCTATTTGATTAGAATTAGATAAAAAGAAAAAAAAAACATTTTATAAATGTCAAACTCCATTCTCACCGAAGCCAAATATGGATCTGAGAGATATATGTCTCAAGCGTGATCTTGCCAAGCCACCTAAGCAGTAGAAATAAAATAATGAAACAAGGATGATTGAACGGCGATTGCCTATCGAAACAAAGCAGATAAAAAAAGTGTACCTTTTGAAGTAAATGTGACAGCAAAATATGAACTTAATAAGCCATGCGTGTGGTACCTCAGGACGTGATCGATCGTGCACAAATTGATTAACAATTTGTTTAAACAGTGGTTCCACTGCATCAGGAGGTACCTAACAACAACAACAAATCAGGAGTGAGACAATTTAATTCAAGTACATAAGAGAAATTAAATAATGAGTTGATGCTAAATATATAAAGCACAGCAGGAAGAGAGTTGGACTTTGTCAGCCTACAGAAAACGTAAGCATTCAATTTTACACTTTGAAATTGAAGACTAATGGTTTGGGATCTGTTGAGATACTCTCTTTTATGTGTCACACCAACAAATTTTTTGTTATTTATTATATAAGGTAACTCCTTGCTTTTGTTTAAATACATAAGAATTACAAGCATATTGGTCTTCTTATTACAATGTTATTTCTGAAAAGTATTAATACATGCAAAAAAGACAAGTTTAATCAAAAGAAGCAAGGGACGAATACAAATTAAATAAAGAATTTTAAAATAGGTCATAAAAAGAAAATGACTGCAACCTTATCATGGCATGCCTGTATTCCTGCAGCAAGTAAATTTGTCACATCACGCTGATGAGGCTGTCAAATTTTAAACATTCAACTTACGAAATAAAATTTCTAAGAAATAGGACCAGAAAGATAAACCATTAATGCAGTTCAATACCTGAACATATCTTTGAAGGAACGAATAAAAGTTTAACAAGATTAGGCAGTGCAATCCAATAGTTCTTGCAATTACTTTCAGCATCATCATCCTCACCTGAAAAAACCAAGTTCTGCTAAGTTAAAAAATAATAATAATAATTATATGAAGACATTCATCATAAAAAGGAAACATCTCCAAAGAACAACTAATGTTAAAAAAAAAAATGGGTCATCATAATTATTAGCCTTGTCCCAACTATTTAGAGCCGATTTTTATGAATCAGCATTCTCCACTCATTCTTGTTTTGTGTATCATAAAATGATGTAAAGCTTTCAGATAGCTTATCTTTATGTTATCATAAGATTACCCCATCTTCTTCCTTTTTGACATCAACTTTACATGCTCGACTTGTTGGTTCTTTCATTGTACATTCGTAAATCACATAAGTTCATTTTTCATTACATTATCTTCAGTGGATACTACTCCCAATATCCCCAATATAATTAATTTTCAGTCTATCCTTCCTTGTCCTTTTACACATTCTCATTTCTACCATGCTCAACTTGGCTATCAATGACTTCTTCACCCACGCTCAAATCCCTATACACATTATTATTTTGATTGTAAGTTTAGAAAACTTATCTTTTAACTCTCCATGATATTTGTCACAAAGTACTATTGAGGCAATTTTTTATTTTAATCGACTAAATTTAACTTTATATATATCTCAAGTTATATTCCTCGCTCTTCTACATAAAAAAATCCAAACAAATAAATTTAGGCATCTGTTGCTCCTTGGAAGTTAAAATAGCAAATAGATAGGAAGAAAATTGCTGATTTTTTTTATCTACTTGACAAAAATAAAAGATACAAGTGATCTACTATTCGAGAGGTAGATCGGCTCTTCCATAAACCCTAGAAGTCTCTAAGTTAAAATAGCAAATAGATATGTACTCATCTTCATTCTACTACAACACATCCATTTCTTATAAATATTTTCTTGATGGCTGTTAACTTTTCATTTATTTCAACAAATGCATAATCATTTAAAGCTATACCATCAACAAAAAACAAACACTAAGATGAACCTCCCATTTAAAGCTATTAAAACTATCATCATTTAAAGCTATTAAAACCTCCCATTTAACACCAAGTCTCCTCACTTGTCCATAAGTTATTTCTAAACTCTCCTAAATCTTTTAACAAAACCACCGAATATACACCAATCAAGTTTGGCACTACAATTTTCAATTGCTCTTTTAATAACATATCTTAAAAGATGAACCTCTCAATTTTCAAATTCCAACATCTTATCCGAGGGTAGTAATATATTTTGTTCATTTTCTTTGTACACATAAGATATGCATTTATAGCAAACATCATGTGCAATGTGGTTAAACTAATGCTTCGCTTGGGACAACTTTTGGCCACTGTTTTTTTGTTGCTTTCAAAAAAAATTTATTCTAAAAAGATACTTTAAACAATGAGAAAGCCGTCCTAAAAGAAACCTAAGTCTTAGAACAAACTTTGTCGAAGCATTTTTTTATTAATTCAAGTAAAAATAAGTTTATTTGATGATTTGATGCTCCGGGCAGCTTTTTATGTCCGTTGAAAATCACCATATGCAGGTCAATAGTCTACCGCATAACAGGAATTGGCATTTGGCATGAAGAAAATCAACAAACACTCTACTCTGGTTCCATATTAAGTCATAGATTATGCCTTCAGTTTAAATAGCAACGAACAAATTTATATTCTTAAATTCTTCAAATTCCGTAAAATGCCAATTATTGGCCAATGGCCAATTAATGATGTTAGTGGCTTTCTGATGGCAGTTCAAGTACCAAAATGGTTTCCAGGAGAATATTCCTTAGCATTAGTTTTATTCTACAACCACAGAACATGGAATGGACCCACATTTTGATGTGCAGAAATCATTTTCAACACCGTAATTTGGCAGATGCGAAGCTACAAAACATTATTGTCAAAAATCATGTTTGTATGCAATAGTTATAAGTTATGTAACATATTTCACTAATACACCAGACAATGTTTCCGTCAAGCTTTGCATAATTAACTAAGGTTTCGTTTGGGACAGCTTTCTTCATGCTTCTTAAAGCAGCTTTTTAGTATAGAAATTTTAATTTTTAAACTATAAAACTATTTTAAGAAGCAATAAAAAAGCCGTCTCAAATGAAGCCTAAATCTATCTACTGCACTAGCTTTAATTGTATGTGCATAAAACAATACCTCAGAACATGTGGTCAATGAACTTCTCTAATCAATTTCCCATTCCAAAAACAAAATATTTGTATAATCGTCCATCCCACCCCCACCCCCACTCCCAAAAGAAAGAATCACAAAAAAGGTGTTGATAAAAAATAAGAACAAAAGTTATTTCTAAAAGCAGGCTATAGGCCAATCATCAATCATATCAACATTTAGGTATCAACATTCAGGTGAAGTTGAAAAGCCAAGAAAAAACAACCTCAAATTTCTCACTACACGTATGAAGACGAGAGAACAGTTTCTCGGTAAAACCCTGCAGGTGAGACCAAAAACTTGCATTATGACTTGGAAGCAAGAAAATTCAAAGCAGAAGATGCTCATTGCAACTAGCCTGTGCGTCTTTTAGATGAACAAGAGGTGAATAGGAATATGAGCCACTCTTTTCTGATGATCGACGTTGCTGTCGTTTCATACTACGAATAACACGTTGCAATTTTGCCTTCTTTTTTCTCTTGCTAGAAGCAGTGCCCTTGTGTTTTGCCTGAAAAGGGTATGAAATCATCACTAGAAAAATGCATGTTACTTTTAACCAATCACCAGTCTTTGACATTTCTTTGAAAACATATCAATCTCAGCAACAAAGTGAGCATTTTCTATATTACAAGTTCTTCTTAGGACACAAATAACACTATCCGAAAATTGTACAACATACAAAAAAGCACTTTCAAGATAACCAAAGCTACAAAAATTAAAGCTCTTCTATCAAACTTCCAATCATTATTTAAGTACTTGTTTTATAAGTTAAAGATCATTAATCAACAATATGTGCGTAAATTGAAGGGATAATCCGGTCTTAAAAGTTCTAATTTAATGGACTAAACTTTCTGATCACAGCTGTGATGCGCATTTGTATTTAAGGCATTAGAAGATGAAGTATTAACGTGAACGAGTTAGGATGGAAAAGCAGGTCAAATCTCACGTGGTTAACCTTTATTTGCAATGTTTTTCTTAAGGTATGGGTAACATCAAACACAGATCTATAGAGAATTGACAGTGAAGGACTCAGAAGACCAACCCCAAATAGTTGAAATAAGGTTGATGGCAATAACTAAAATTTCACCTTTTACACCCCATCACCTAGTCTAGCCTCTAAGTAGCAGCTAACATTTTTTAATATAAAGGGATTTATCTTTCCTTCGATGGCACTCCTCTGCTGGATACATAAGAAAATACCATATTATTCAATTTTATGAAAATTGGAGAGAATATTGAACCAGAAAAATGAGAGGCTCAACAGGAATTTAACAAGAGTTGATTCAATCCATTTAAAAGGTAGGTAGACATATATGAATAAGCACTCTAATGCATTTGGTTTATAGAGCTCCCCCATATCATTTGCCTTTTTTTTTTAACATCCAAAAAATATTGTTTTTAATATCACATCTTGGTTATGGTTTATCCAATGTCACAAGTCTTGCTTATGATTTCTCTTACCACCAAAAAGAGAAAAACACATCGCTGTCTGCACAAAAATGTGTCATGCACATACCTTATAAACATCCTCCCTGCTAAGAACAACTTGTGGATTTTGACTAATTTCATCGTCATCACCACTTGAGATGTCACTATCGTCAGCGTCATCTTCAATGTGTTCAAAACCAAGAAGGAAAGAAAGAGCAGCTACCATAACCCTGAACTCAATAAAATATAAATATCAAATTAGTAAAACATCATATATATGTGTCAGAAATCAAAATAAAGAGAACAAAATAAACATTGAACTTTCATAACTATGCAGAGAAAAAGAAAGTATAAACCTAGAAGAACTGTGAAAGCATGCATTGCATATGGCATTAACTGTGCGCTCATCAAACCACACTTTTCTTCGATGAAGATCACAAAGAACAACAAGTGATCTCCTTGCTCGTAGTTCTTCATCTCCCTAACAAAAACAAATTAAAACAATCAGCAAGAAAAATTATGGAAATACTCATAGTCATATGAAACTATCAAGTAGGATAAACAACCATCAAGTTTTTTCTTTTTAATTGATAAACATCAATGAAATATCATTTAGGAGAGAATTATATATATAAGTGTGTGTATATGTGTATAACAAAAACATGAACCTGCAGTTGCTTGAAAAGAACATTCTGCAATTTCTGATTTTGTGCCTCGTTTCTATGATTTTTATTCAAGCGCCGAATGCTATGAACAACATGTGAAAAGGCTAGTTTTCGTAGAGTTCGATCACCAATGATTTGGAGGTCCATGAACAACTCTAGAAGTACCTCTAAGCCGATGATCTGCATGGACAAACAAGAAGGAAGAGTTCTCATATACTAGTCATCACTTCCTCTAGAGAATATAAGCGAAACATATAATGGCTCATTTAGTTGCTTGAAAATATAAAACACGTAAAAAAATATTTCTTTTACAATCATTTTGGGAGAAAATAAAACCATTAATATTTTGAGGGGTTTAGAATGTGTTTGTAGAGTTTAAAACTAAGCAAATCAAACCAAATCACCGGATTTATAAATTCACCATTTTGTAAACATGTTTTCAAGTGTCAAGTTGCCCAAATGAAACTTCAAATTCAACTTTAGCATGCCTACGTAGTGTCAACAGGCTTCAAATCAAGATAAACAGATAGCCGGTAAAATAACATAGTTGAGAGGAATAGATTTCTTTTGTAATCAAAGTATTTAATAATAAATAACTTCTTACTGTCTTACCTAATTCAAGAACCAATCAATTATGAAATATATATGTGTGAAATCCCATCACCTCAGCATTACGCTTCTTCATTAGTTAACATTATCATATGCAACCCAACTTAGTTCTGTGGTGGAGAGCGTCGGCTCCCACCGCAAGGACATGGGTTACAATTAAATACACCCAGAGTCCCAAAAAAAGTAAACATTAACATGAACAACGAGAAGATACCACATGTATCAGATAGTGTAACCAAATTCTCACCTTTTTATTGACAAGAATGATGATGGCTTGCACCAGATGACAACAGAGGGAAGAGGGAAGCGCTCGTGCATCGGTTCGAAGGATACCAGAAACTTGGAGAGGGAATTTGACTAGGCGAAGAGGATAGAAGGGGATCATATGCGCAAGAAACATCGCAAGATCACCTAGATCTTTGGAGAGCACTGGATCCGAAGATGGGCTGAGGGCAGATTGTTGTTGAAAGAGATGAAGGGTGGATTCGAAATGGCGATAGATAAGAACCAACTCCGCCTCGTATCCTTCTGGGTCTAGCTTCATCCTTGATTGAAGCAGCGGCAGGCTCAGCCTTTCCGCCACCTTGCCGGAGGCAGAGAGGGATTCCGGAGAAAGGATGTTAGTAACGGTTGTGGCTGCCATTTCTGATGACAAGCCCTTGGACCGTGAAGACCGTGAAGAAGATCACGATGGACCCTGCCAAACAGAATGTCCGATCCCGTTTCTCCCCTGGGATTTGTATGATTTGAGTTAAATCAGTGGCAAACGAACTCAACTTCTCCTTCCTACGCAGTTGGTCCCGTCAATGAATTCTCCGGCCAGCTCCGGTCGCTACTTCCTCACTTTGCCGTCGAGGGTTCGGTGAATTGCGTAGCAGCAGAACGGAAGCAAAGGAGAGGGCTTCAGGGGCTGTTTGGTATCGGATTTACAGCGGGATTTAAGTCGGATTTACGCTAAATCCAGCCAAACAGTTTTTGTGAGCGCGTTAAATCCCGGGATTCAAAATGCCATAACTTCCGATCCGGGTTGAAGTCGGCAGGAGCGAAGTCGAACAGCCACGAAGGAGCCGAAGAAGCGACGCCTGCAATCTCTACACCTCCTGCGAAAGCAACGGAGCCCAACAGCAACGACGAAAAGAGAAGATGAAAGGCAAACCCTATACGCCTCTAAGTTATTACTGATTAACTTAATTAATATAATTTAAATTATTAATACTTAATTAAATTAATTAAATAGTTAATTGTATAATTAGTGCATAAATTAATTATCTAATGTAACTACTTTATATAATTAGTAATTAAATATTAATATAATTAGATTAATTAATATAACTTAATTAGAGATAGGATACGAAATGAGCATATACGTGAAAAGGTTGGATGTCAAAAAGAATGTCGGATCCCGTTTCTCCCCTGGGATTTGTAGGATTTAAGTTAAATTGGTGGCAAACGAACTCAACTTCTCCTTTCCACGCCGTTGGTCCCGTCAATGCATTCTCCAGCCAGCTCCGGTCGCTACTTCCTCACTTTGTCATCGAGGTTTTGGTGAATTGGGCAGCAGAAGAACGGGAGAAAAGGCGGGCGAAGGGTTCAGGGTATTAGGGTGTTAGGCAAGGTTGTAATTATTTTATTTTTTATGAATTTGATAATTTCAAATTATCAATATTAATGATATTAATTAAATACAATATATAATTATAATTTAATAATTAATGTTAGTTAATTATAATATAAGAACTTAAATAAATTGATATTATTTATAATTTATTTCATATAAATAAAAGTACGTTATTGCATTTATTTTATTTATAAATTACAAATTAATGATAATTGAAATAGTATATTATGATAATTACAATTTAATTAGTAATAATAATATCTTAATTAATTATTAATATTAAATCAAATAAATTAAATTTAAGTCAAATTTTTAAATTTAAATTAGACTTAATAATTAAAAATAGTCAATTGAAAATATTAACTAAATAATTTGATATTATTTTTAGTTTTTATGGCAATGTTAATGTTCTTGCTTTTTTCTATATTGGTTAGTGCACGCAAATTTTTTTGCCACTACATATGTATATTCTTTGTTTGATAAATCAAGTTGCAATGAAATTTTGTTGATTACTTCACAATCTGTTTTTGTTGTCAGTGTACATATACTTGGCAATGATAATGAAGAGAACTTGATAAGAATGTGTCAAGTATAGGAGAAATTATTTTGTGCGGATTTCGGACGAGAAGTTCATGTTTGGACTCTGAGTGTACACAATGTGTTAAAAAAAGTCAAATTGTACACAGTATGTACATTCACAATCCAAACTCTGCACATAATAAACACAGCAAGTATAGAGCTGCAAATGAATCGAAAGTTTGACGAGTTATTCGTGACTTAGCCTTAGAGCTCGCTCATGATCATTTAATTAAGTAATTAATTAAGTAAACAAATAAACTAGAACATTTTTTTTAAATACTCGATGCTTAAATAAATAAACTTGTGTTCGACTCGTTTATGTTCATAAACAGTATTGTTTAAAGCTATGAATAAACTCGAAAAACTTGTTCTCAAAAAAACTGTTGTGGCATTAGTTAACTTGGTGCTTAATATTTTGAGTGTCGGAAATCACATTTTATCATTTTGTTATATTTTTTAGATTTAGTTTTGTTATAATAAATTATTCTTATTTTATAAAAAAAATAACTTCATTTTAATTTTATACTTTCTAAATTTGTTCATAAACAAGTTTATTTATAAGAAGAATTGTAGCTCGTTTGTTCTTGAACAAGCTTAGTTGGTAGCTCGAATATACTCACTAACTATATTCGTGAACGGGTTCGTTTGATAGCTCAAGACCACTCGCTAGATATGTTTTGGAATGTGCATGTTTGATAGTTTGAAAATCCTCGTTAGATCTCTTCACGAATGGGTTTGTTTGGCAGCTTAAAAACACTCACTAGATATAGTAGTGAACGGGCTCATTTGGTAGTTCAAAAGCACTAGTTAGATATGTTCACAAATATGTTCGATGTAATTATCGGTTAGTCTTGATAAAGCTCATTTGTTAAGCTAATAAACATTTAAAAGTAGAGCTCAGTTATAGCTCAATGAGGCTCATTTGTTTAAAGGTTGATAAACATGAAACAAATCATACATTAACCAACCACAAACCAACATAAACATCCATCAATTTAAACGAACCAAGTTTGAACATAAAAAAAAGGCTTGAACCGAACTTGAATAAGCTGATAATAAATGAACTTAAACATGAACAAGCGTTTGCTTGACTTAGCTCATTTGCATCTCTAGTCAAATATACACCACTGAGTTCAAATGAGGCCAACCAAAGATACAATCACATCCATAAGAACTAATATCTCAGGTCAATGACATTAGTACTCTTGATGGAGTCTGTCCCTCCTCTATGTCGCAAAGAACACCTGCAAGGAAAAGAAAATCGGGCAAGCACATAACACAATACCAGAATATACCCAGAACCATATATATTCAGGTTCTTCTCTATTGCTCCAGTAAAACGAGGAATCTCCAAAAATGATTAGCTACCTCCTTTCTGCAGCCAATCCTTCCCATATAACTAGCTTCTATAAAGTTGAAAGGAAATACTAGAAAATGAAATTATGGAAAAAAACTAAGGGAACATGATGGCTAAAAAAGGAATGCATAGTGGGTGTCAGTAAACCATTGAGGAGGTGTTGAGTGTCCCGCTTCTCATCATAACTAATCGTGCACTGCATCAGTCTTCCCCCGCTTCAGAAGAGCTCGACTCCGACGAGCTAATATGGACAATGGAATCATCCGGTGATGAATATGCAGAAATGTCCGAAACATTAAAAGTTGTGGACATATTTAAGTCCGCTGGCAAGGCAACGGTGTAGGCATTATCGTTGATCTTGGCGGTTATAGGAACTGGTCCAACCTTCCAGCGCATCAGCTTTGAATGGGTTCCCGGTGGGAACCGTTCCTTACGGAGACGCACCATGACCAAGTCTCCGACGTTGAAAAGTCGTTGTCTGTGGCGACGATCAACGGTTTCCTTGTACTTTAGGTTGGACTTCAAAATTCTTTGACGGACCTCCTCCAATATGTCTGCATACTCTTCGGTGAAAGTAGCAGCAGCAGGTGCTTTGCATTTGGGCAAAATGGCGACGTTAAGGGCTGTGCATGGTGATTTAGTATACACAATACTGAAGGGGGATTTACCGGTGGAACAGTTTGTGACATCCCAGGCATCTATAGTGAAAGGATTCGTCTAACAGTCTTTATCAACCTCAATCTCTTGCTCCCTTGTCCTGACCTGAAAATTTTTAACCACATATAATGAGCTTAACTAGCCCAGCAGGTCATCAAAGCCTACAACTAAATTCAAAGCACGGTACTGAAATAATATGCATGTCAATCAGTTAAATCCATAATAGTCACTTGCACATGATCATTGAATCTATGCGGATACGAGAATCAGTAATCAATGCATGATCGGTAGATTCCAAAATCATCAGTAGAAGGATCAACACACAATAGAAAAATCCATAGAGAAAATCGTCAAATCAGTAATATCAATCAAATTAATATCGTATCAATAACCTCAATCAATCGCATTAATAGGATCAATCAAATCAATGAATAAAGAAATCATGCCCGGTCAATAGTATCAATCGGTATAAAATCATATAAAACAATCAATCAATACATCGTAAGAACAATTGAAATCAAATCAATACAGTAAAAACATATTCTATATCACATGGTCAATGTATCATATGTAACAGATTAATATTCGGTGTATCAATGAATCAATGGTATCAATAAATCTATAGTATCAATGAATCAATCATATCAGTGTTCACAGTATCAATGAATCAATGCAATAACAATATCCGTATCGGTATATGTATTCAGTGACATGTACAGTATGCAATATCAAATAAAATCGTGCAGTATCAATGAAATAGTACAGTGACAGTAAACCCATAAATCCTTCAGTAAATTCATTCAATATCAATAAATTCGTCAATAACAATAAATCAGTAAATCCATTCGATATTATAAATCAGTCAATGCCGATAAATTTGTAAATCCATAAAAAAATCATAAGAACAATACTTTACACATGCATTCAATACAATAGTCTTACTTAACAAGTACAATCACTAGCTATTAAGGCATTTTTCAAGGTTAGTATCGATGTTAGTAGTCCGTTGGCTCGATAATAGAGTCGTCACCCCTGCCCATAGTCACGATAATCTCCTTATGACTCTCAATCGTTATATCAATGATCAATAGAGAATACACCTAACCCTTTTTAAAGGGAAGCCCGTCGGCCCACCATCCTATACAGGTCAAATCAATCTCCAACCAACGGTTCAACCAGTCTTTACTTGTCTTTCAGTAATATAATAACATTCAATCATATCCACATTATTACACATCTCAATAATACATTGCAATCAACAAACACAATTCAGCTCACTTTAGAAAACTCTTTAAAATATCGTATAGTAGACATAAGTCGTTGTAAAATGCACAGTTCTAGAAAATTACCAAATTATTAGAAATCGTTTAAAACAACGTTTCAAAACTTTACTTGTACTGAAGCACTATTTTTTCAATAGCCTGAAAATTTTCTATTTGATAAAAACACATCAGAAATCAAAATACCCGATAAAAACTTTCCAAAAAATACTCAAATCGTGCAAAATCATCATTTCAATAACATACCAAAAGTTACGTGGTAAAAGTTTCGTCCATACAAAGATAGGGTTATTTTTCGGTAACGGAAACACAAAAGTGAGTAGAAAAATATCAAAATATGAAATCTTCGAAATCAGAAATAGGATTCGGATTCCTTACTTTGAGACAAACAAATCTTCTAACCGCGTTGACGGACGAAAAGCGCTCCGCAGCCTCCGAAATCAAGCATTTTTCCGTCCTTTCCTTCTCTTTCTCTCTCTTGCCTTTTTCTCTTTCTTCCAAATGATTCCAAAATATCTCAATCCATTATATATTCATGCAGATCGTCCCGAATGATCCATTTTCGTCCCGGGATGATTTGCCCTCTAGACAAATCTCGTCCAGACGAAATAATTATCGTATCGGGACGAGTTGCTCTCTGGACAAATTTCGTCCCGACGGATCGTCCCAGCTCATACAGGTTCG